CTGAGCTTGTTTTTCGATGCTGATATCGGAGAGGCACCTGATAGCACAGAATAACAAACAAACAAAATGAAAACGGAAAGAGAGATCCGATGGTCGTGGAGGAAGCCCCGCCCCTTGGGCAACGGCGGAAAGATGTTCAGTGGTAGCGCGTCACCAGTTAGTCTTATCAGTGGAAGAGAGGTTTACCTACCAGTGTGCGCCCATGATATTTTCGTCGTTAGCCCGGTTCGAAGTCATAGAAAAGCAAATCGGATCTCTCTTTCCGTATTCCTTCTGATTGTTATTCTGTGTTGATAGTCACTATTCTAGTATCACTTTTGTTTTCTAAAAATTACACTATGGAATGTTCTGGAATAATGGTTCTGTGACTATTTATTTTTTATTTGTATGAAAATGACTATAGTAATTACATTAGAATGTAGGCATAAAACCACACAGAGGGTAGGTACTCTATTTACTAATCTTTTAGGTAAATGTGAATAAATCTGAAAATAATATTACGAAATTGCATCAAGAGCCGAATCCAGTTGCGCGACTATTCGGGGAGTTCTATTGTATATAAGTTGGGCTGGTTACTCTAGAGTAATTCCTCAAACAATGGACAATGCCGTCCACAAATATCGCGTAGTGAGTCAGTTTGATAGTTAGTTTAAATAAGAGATTTATTGTATAAGGTTCTTTTTCAATTTGACCAATAAAAGTTATTGTTGGTTAGGTGAGTTTTAGACAGTTTTGCTGTGGTTTTAGTGTACCGGAATCCGTGACAATGTAACAATTTGTAGAGTACGATTTGAGAATGTGTTTATTATTTGAGTTTTGTCAGATGAATACATATTTTGAATGTCAATGTGCCTTCTCAAATGGCTAAATCCGTGAAACGTTTGTGTACATTCACAAGTACGCAAACAATTCCTAGGTATTATTGTTAGGTATTCATATTTGATATCAAATAAGAATTTTCACCTTTATACTATTTTAACCACAAAAATACAGAATCAAAAATAAACTCCTAAATTATGGTTTGGTTATAGACAGTCAAGAAACAGAAAATAAGCGATACCTGCGGCTTTTCAGATCCCCCATACTGAGAGGCAACATTATCTCGTTTTTTTTTTTCATGAATTAAATCATTTTAATAACCTATAAGCCCATTTTTGCACGAATTATTGCACAGTTGAAATTAAAGGGGGTGTGACCCAGAAAAACAACTTAAGCTACTCAAATCAAGAAAAAAAATCTAAGATCTCTCGTGGAAACCGCAGTCCTATATTCAAAATGGTATCCGAGAAAATCCCTTATGAAGATAAATTATGATGGAACTTGTGACGTCACACCGGCTAACCGCCAAAATCGCAGCCTTCTGTTCATTCAGTCGTCATTAGTGAACCGTGCCCTACATACTTTGAGTGGTTGATTGCGTTTCAGTGCCGAAGCCGTGTGACGTCACAGCCTAGGCGTTTGTGACTACATATAAACCGCCCTTACTCGAAAACGGTTTATCGTAGCAAGATGCGGTTTCAATATTTGTCCTTAGATTTTTTTGCACTAAAACTTTCATTTTTGGTAGTTGGTGAGTGAATACTCTGTATGGCACAAATTTCTCCCGACACACAGCGCTATAGTTTTCCTTTATAACTTCTAGATTGTGCCTCAAACGCTGCGCTGGTTGGTATTGAGAGTGAAAATATGCTCAATAGAGGGTATTTGGTTGTGAAGAGCTCGATAGGTAAAAATGAGATCTCTTCTGGTTCACACTAATTAATCCTTGTTAGTTAGCCTTTCTTGATAGGATGGTCTTCTCCTGCCAAGTTGCAACGGCGTGGCTTTCCTCTGCACAGCTTCCAGGTTGTTCTTATCTCTTATCGGATCAGAGCTCCACACCTGACCTGCATATTCAAGTATTGGTCTGCAGTAGACAATAAACAGTTGGGTGAATTCTTCTTGGGGTATGTTGAGGAATAAATTTTTTAACAGAAATAGTTTGCCTTTTGCTCGACTGCAAATGTCTGTAATATAGGGAAACCAAGATAGATCACTAGATACCAGAATGACAAGATAGTTATGCTGCTGAACACTGGGCAACACAATGCCATTGATGGAGTAATCTAGTTATGGGTTGTTCAAGATGCAACACGACACCCACATTTGGGGGAAGTTGCCAGTCCTCACTCCACTCATAAATCAGGTTAAGGTCTTCTTGAAGAACGGCTGTCAGTGGCAGGACTGTAGATCTTTATGTCATCAGAATAATTAGCGCACGAGGATTTTATTAGGTCCAGTGGATCCAGCGTGTACAACACAGAGACCAGTGGTGCAAGCACTGAGCCCTGCGGCACTCCGCTTGCACTGGTTGTGGCTCGGAAAGAGAGTCAGCAACTCTGATTTGGAACTGTTTTTCTGAAACATAATCCCTAACCCAGAGCAAGTTGCCCTCATCCCAAAATGCTCCAATTTCATCACGAGTCTCCGTGCATACCCTGTCGAACGCTTTGGCAAAATCAAGTTGAATGACATTTTTCAGTCTAGAAGTCTGGTCCAGTCATTGAGACATTCCAGGAGACATGTATTGTATTTGTACTGCGTTTCAAAATGAAGCCATGTTGGTGTGCGGTAATCAGTTGTTCTGCAGCCGCAAAGTCTCTCACATGGTTTACTATTATCATTTTTGCTATAATGGATAAGAGACTGATGGGCCTGTAGTCCTCTGAGCTTAGCTTGTTACCTTGTTTATAAATGGGTGTGACTGACTCCCTCTTCTAATGAAATGGAAGTTTGGTTTGCTGGAAGGATATGTTCATTATTTTTTGCTAGGAAGTGCAAAAGGCTTTCTGTACATTTTTTGAGCATCAAGTCAAGTTGTTTTCAATTTTTTTTTTTTTTGCTTTTGGGATATCTTGATGTGTAAAGTCGATGGTAGTGATTCGTATGGATTTGAAAAGTCGTCGGAATGGGTGCCTGCTTCGTGAAGACCCTTGAAAACTCATGCAAGTATCCCAATTGGCAAATTTTAAGGGTGGGTATACCCACTTTAGTGTTTTAATTTGATCACATATATTTGTGCAGCTTTTTGGAATTCTCAAACCTTGTCAATCTGCTGAGATATACCAGCTTTGCCTTCATTTATTTGCTGTGTTAGGGTATTTGAGAAGTTGCGTCATCCTCTATAGTCAGTGGGATGCTTTGTTTGAATGAATTTTTCCCAAAGTGTCTTTTCCCTCCTACAGTCTCAAATGTGACGATCAGTAATCGACGGATAAGGCTGTTTGTATGATAAATTCTGAGTTTGCTTGTACTGTTCTTTCCAATGTGTTGTGGAAGGTTGCCCAGACCGTGTCTATTTTACACCCAAAAGTTCTTCTTACCAGTCGACCCTAGAAAGGTGTTCGTTAACTGCTGCAAAGTTGATGCGTTTGATTTTTTTTGCTTGAAGGTTTCAGCGCCTGCATTAGCCAATGTTGTTTGGAGTGTGATTTTCAGTACCTCCTGGTAAGATTTTCCTATGGGAGAGAGATGTTCATATTTTGTTATGAGGTTCTTGTCATTTGTAAACTAATGAGGGGTTTTGACCTGAGACTGAGTGGGTTCGGTCACAAGCTGGTGTAAGCCTTCACTTAATAGTCTCACCCGATATGGCAGCTCCATCCCTTAATACACCCAAATCTGTACTTGGCCATGAGATTTTGGAAAAGGTGAAATCACCCCAAATCACCAACTTTTTGCATTCTGATTCAAATTATGTTGGAAAATTCAATCACATCAACATCAAACCAGACAAACAAAAAACGCTAGTCTCAGGCACTTTGCTAAGCACTGCAATTTATTTTGTGGTCTGGAACTCTACTACGGATTTTAATCTAAAATAATGACGCTGGGCGATTTGAAATTCAAGTTGATTTAAAGAATTGGACATTTTGTGGCTCATTTCAAACAAAACATTAATTTTATATTTTTTTCACCAAGCCCATTTGAGTCATCATTTCATTCCTTTTTCGGATCGTTAAATCGAAAATATAACTATTTAACATATTCCTTTCGGACAGGGAATAAGGTATTTATATGATGAAAGTTTTTCCTCCCATTAGGCAAATTTCGCTTTTGTATTCTGTCAGGCGACGGAGTTTCGATGGATCTGGCTGAGAAAATCGAAAATATATTATATACATACCTATAAACTTTGCCTATATGATATGGCTCGTATAATTTATTCGAATTGAGAGTGTGAAACCATTGCAGAACCATCATTTGCACAATTTTATTTTTTTGTAGTTTTGTTATAGATACCTTGGACTATAGCGACTGGTTGTTGTGGGTTGGGATTGTTTGACGGAGAAACACTTCTGAAATCTGACACTTTTCAGTAGTAGAATAGTGCTGTCGAGTCATACACCATTATAAACTTAACCACTACTACGTAGTTTATGGTGGTGTATGACTCGACACTATATTCCACCACGTTTCCTGTACGTAGCTACGCAACGTTTCGACATTCCTATTATGATGGGCGCTTAACTTTCGCAGTATACATCTTTCAGCTATGCCAATAGAGATGCATGCGTCAGAGCCTCAGAATCATTTTGGGTGTAAGATTTCAGTTGTATAAGAATTTTTTGCTAAGGATTTTTTATTGGATATTCGCAATTTCGATTGTGTCACTTCCTGTTCTTCTTTCTCTCCCTGTTTTTCATTTGTGATGCAGCATTGTCCTTTTTTCCTGGAACCGACTCATTAAAAATTAATGAGTTATGCAATAAATATACTCGTTAACGAGTGAAAGCTGATGATGAGGGGTGAGAGAGAGAGAGAGAGAGAGAGACTGGAGAGGTAAAAAACACTAATTTGTCGATATGTATGGTAGGCTAGTGCATTGAAAAGTTCAAAAAAATAAATAAATATACCAAATCCAAATCTATGTAGTTCATATTTTTACAGCTATTCTAGTCATAGACACGCTGTAGAGTCCATTTTAGTCTTTTTGAATATGGAAATCTGCATTTTTTCAGATGAAAATGGATCAGTGGGCGAAACGATTGACGACAGACCAATTGAAATTTCGGAATTTATGAAACTTTGCGAACAGCGACGAAAGTTTCCAGTTTTGTATAAATTGGAGTTCGAGGTGAGTTTATATTTGCATTCGAATTTAATTTATTCAAATCTGTTTATGTTGCTAGATTGCAGAAAAGACAGAGCCCCATTCTTGTCGGCATGGAACTAAAAAGGGTAACTTAGAAAAGAACCAGAACCAAAAATGCATTCCTTGTAAGTATGAATTTGAGTTTAATTTTTTAAAATTTCACCAAATTGCAATAAAAACTTTATATCTAAGACAAAAAGCCCACTTAGATAAAAGTTTATATTTCCATGTAGAGAGGAAACTCATTTCCGCTCAACAGTTGAGTCATATAAACACGAAAATATACTTGAATGTGTCTTGCACTGGAAGGCTTCCACTTCACACTCCAGTTTTTAAATATTTTATTGAAGCGCTGAGGACTGGCAAAATGCTGATTTCGCGTGGCTCAATTTATTGCTGCCAACTATTGAGGCTACTGATTTGAAGGGGCGGAAAATAATTTCAAAGGAGATGAAATTGAAAACTAAAATATGATGGTGAATAAATATAAACTTATAGAAGAAAAGATCAAGAGAGAATTTTTCACATTTGCATTCTAACTCTCGTACTCTAGCAGCATAGCAGATACAATACTTGGACGCATCGACTACACAACAGCGATAGTGGTTATTGTCAGAAGCATGTTGGCATATCTTTGTTTAATTTATTGAGTCTCGTTTTTTATATTCATTCAGTTCATGTGCTCTTTGTAATGGCCTACGAGTTCCACTAATATAGAATTTATCACATTAATTACATTATAAATTACGGTTTTAGTCTTTTTCATAACTCAAGGTAAAATAGACTCTCTCTTACAAGTAAGGCCCAAAAAATGCAAGGTAAAAGACTTTAGTTAGATCTCATACATTTTCAAGACCTCTGGTTTTGATTCTTTTATGTTATCGTATCTAGGATAAGAGGGCATCTCCCTTCGGTTGATAAAACCCAATCGTTTTCCAAAAAAGGTTCATGAGTTTCAGGAAAATCATTGATTGATGAACGAATTATTAAATTATATGAGGAACCTGAACCCATAGAAGGTCAATGTCAACGACGGTTCACCGGTAATTGTTATAATCAGCGATCGCGCACCAGGGTCGCGGTAATAATATAAATTAATGATTTTTGGAAGTTTTCCAAAAATTCCTATGGAAGATGAAAGGGTAGTCTACACATCGAGAATAAACCGCCTTAGTAAGTCAGTAATAATAGTGCCTTTTAGTCCTGTGAAAATTATTAGTTTCGATGCCCATATCTGAAATGTATTTGTGGTAAGCTTTATTTTAAATACACTTTCCTATTCTAGTTTTGATTCTCCCCTCTCATAAGGGCCATATCCAATGAGAGAACACTACGTTGCGGACGTAGTAACGAAGAAGCCTTATGGTGTAAAATTGTACAAGGGTGCCACCATAGGATACTTACAAAAAAAATCAGGGCAAAATTAAGAAAACTACCCAGTTATGTTCGTGGAGGACGACGAAGATGAAAAAGTTACAATAAGAGACCACAGTATTTGGCACTAATAATTATCACAGGACTGAAAGGCACTATTATTACTGACTAACTAACGCGGTTAATTCTCGGTCTGTAGACTACCCTCTTATCTTCCAAAAACCATTATTTTATATTAATACCGTTACCCTGGTGCGTGATCGCTGATTATAACAATTAACAATTACCGGTGAACCATCGTTGACATTGACCTTCTATGGGTTCAGGTTCCTCATATAATTTAATAGTTCGTTCCACCTGCAACCGAATGTTATTTAAACGTGACGTGATGGATGATTTTCCTGAAACCCATGAACCTTTTTTAGAAGACGATTGGGTTCAATTAACCGAAGGGAGATGACCTATTAACCTAGATACGAAAATATTTTTAACTTTTCTGGTCATATTTCAAAAATACAAACATGACCTTTGGGCACATAATATGACTTCATGACTCTCTTAATATAGGTACAGGTTTGGCAAGTCAACATCTTGAAAAAATGAATGAATTAGGGGTATTGTTACAATGAAATATGCATAAATCTATTGTGCTCCCCTTCTAGGTGCTTTAGTTGATAGAGTTTTCACTCAAAGCACCTCAACAAGCTTCAAAACTTTTATGAACCTAAGTGAGCTGGATGGTTCCATGGATGGAATTTTTTCCCCAGTGGGCTGTCTGGGGTTTGTTCTTTCTTCACTTCTTTTCGTTGGTTTCTGGAAAGTGTTCGCTCAGAAGAAGGAGCGCACGCTCCTCTTCTCCTTCCGTATAGGTACCATCTGACTTTTTCAGACAGTCGAACTTGTTTCCTCTTTAGCCATTGCCGTGTGCAGTCTAGCGGCGACTGGAGTCGGGGTGATGTTTTCATAGTCAACATCTTACGGGCCAGTTGTAATGCAATAGAATGAAATGTCTAGAAAAAGTCAAGGTTAAATAGAGAACAGGGGAAATTGTTTTCGTTGTCTATTTAACCTTAGACTTTTTCTAGACATTTCATTCTATTGAAATAAAATTGGCCCGTAAGATGTTGACTTGCCAAACCTGTATACGGTCGATACCAAAATGTAAAACCTTTAACCTATCACCACTACACCTGTAACAAATATTCTTCACATCAATAGATATTAAAAAAAGAAAAAACTCAGAAAATAAACGTATTTGTTTAGCAAAAATCAATAACCTGCAAAAATGGTAAACATGATACCTACGTCGCACTTTAAATTGAGCTATGAAATTCGCACGCAACGAAAATCTAAAAGCGAAAAATAACAATAATTGTGTAAATTGGAAATCCAACAGAAATGTAGAATAGAGGTGAAAAAATGAAATTACTAGCCCTGGTTTTGGTGATGTCATTTGATCCGCTATATTTTAATAGTTAAAACAATGACGCCACTCATAGGCATTTTTTGAAGCTATGATTGAAACAGTTTTGTTTATTGAAATATTTATTTATTTATGTTTCTTGTTTCAGATGATTATAACAGGGTAGTTTTAGATACCATAGAAGGCGAACATGACAGCGATTATGTTAACGCCTCATATGTAGATGTAAGTTTTTAGATTGTGGTATTTCTGTCTTTTTTAAAGTTTCATTTCATTGAATGCCAAGTGTATATGTTTCCTGTTTCCAGAGCCTATTGAAACCAAACGCCTATATCGTAACCCAGGGCCCCACAGAAGAAACTGTTACAGATTTCTGGAGAATGGTTTGGCAGGAAAAAGCAAGCTGTATTGTGATGTTGACTAAAACTTTTGATTTCATCAAGGTAAGATTTTAAAACTCCAAGTTATAAATCTCGTTATCTTTAGGTTTACGAATATATGGTTATTTTCCGTTGAGAGGAAAATAATAAATTTCATGCTCTACGAACCCTATTTTGCGGCTTTGAAACTTTAACAATTACGGTCCTACACCGAAAAGTAATTATTATTCGATTTGGTTAAAATAAACAGCCTTTACAGCTCGCGTACATGTTAGAAATGGTTGCTTTGTTCCCAGATTTTATTATATTATATGTATTATGTAACCGGAAAATTTATTCTTACACCCACATACAAATTGGAGTACCTATATATTCTGAATACATCGAAAATCTTCCCCTGTCGGCATTTTGCTGAACAAAACCAGAACAATAAATTTAGATCCGAGAAAGCTAGAAAAATCTGTTGTCGCCATAAATCAGCTCGAGAGATAAGGATAGATTTTCAAGGAATAGGATTCTCCATAAATTTTTCTTTTATCTGTAAGAAGCACATTCGATCCGCTTGAGAGACTTTTAAAAGAAAATCTCGGGAGAAAATAGAATAGTCCTTGTTCTTTTTAGTGGCTTTTAGAAAAATATATTCATAAGCGGGTTCATTGTGGACGTAATTTAATACCTAGTCTGGTTCGTTTGAGTCACCAGAACCGAATTTTCCCTAACGTTAACCTTCCCTTTAGCATTGAAGTAGGTTAGCCTACCAATATGATCTTGAAGTACCTATGCATTTTCTCTGTTCTCGTGAATGTTCTCATATAATTGGTTCACCTCCTTATTGTAGTATAACATACCCGGGTTCGTTCAGCAATATTGAACGGTGTAAATTTTTATTACCTTCTTTCTAAACCACAAATCTTCTGAAAACGAAATGAAAAACAGATAGAACCTGACCTACGTTGTGGAAACTTGAGGGAAGTTGTGATATGTAAAAGAAACGAAAAATTTGTGAAACGTCTACTTTATTAATAAAGTAACCTTTTGAATACCACTCGATGTTTCAGGATTACCTAATACTTTTACCTGACACTCAATGCGTTACCAGCAACACCACTCCTCCTTCGGAGTCGTGGTGTTGCTGCGTAACGCGTTTCGGGACAGGTAAAAGTATTATCCGGTAATCCTGAAACCTCTTGTGGTATTACATTCGATAATTGTGAGTCATATATTTAATAAATTAAGTCAATGATTCGATAAAAGTTTAAATTTTGTAGTATAACATACCTGGGTTCGTTCAGTAAGATTAAACGGTGAGAATTTTCATTACCTTCTAAACAACAAATCTTCTGAAAAACGAAATGAAAAATAAATAGGACCTACGTTGTGGAAACACTCAATTTTACTTACTGGACATGCGCTCGACATAGCAAATATTAGGGAAATTTGAGGAGGGTTGTGATATGTAAAATAAACGAAAAATGTGTGACACGTTTACTTTATTATTAAAATTAATCGTACCGTTCTCGACCTGGAACTAACGAGGGGAAAGAGCACGGCAGAGAAACCCTCGATCTAACATTCCTCAAAAATCAAAACATACTGTGTCATTTTAATGATAATTGTGAGTCAATAATTTAAGTCAATGATTCAATAATTCAATAAAAGTTTAAATTAGCTACCATCCTTTGTCTTTGTGCTAAAATTTTAATTCCACACACAAAATTCAATCAACACTACCTATATTCCATACTGAAGAGTTTTTGTTAGTTAGCCAGTCTCACCAGCAGGTACTGAGGTCCCATATGGGAAGCTACTCAGCTATAGTTGTTTTTGAGCCAATATCTCTAGTTTGATTATTTCAATTTGTTTGCTAGGATAGGTATTCGCTCGTCAGGGTAGGATAATGTTAGTAAATTCAAGTAGGCCCTAATGCACGCTCTAAATCCAAAAATAAAATCCCAGCACATAATTTTTCGGTGTTGTTTACAGCATGAAACGATTTTTGTTGAATACATGAACAATGTATAGGGTGTTTCCTTATATTTTGATCTTGACCCCTACCTACAGCTCCAGTTATACAGGTGCCAACTGTCACAATGACAAACACTTGCATTTTTCATATGGATCACCCTGTATATTTTTGACTAGAATGATATTTTTTTTTCTTCTGATTCCAAATATACCATATATGTTGATATTTGGTTCAGTTGTTTTTGCGCTATTTAATTTTAAAATTGCATTGAGCAAGCCTCATAATTGATATTCGCAAACGATAATAGACATAAAACTGTACAACTTTTACATTTCAAGTTTTTTCCACCTCGTATAGCTAAAGCTGTAGGCAAGGGCGTACCCAGGATCTGAAATAGGGGGGGGGCTGACCAAAAAAAAAAAAAACAATGGATTTTGCATTTCTCTTTTTAATTACTAAATTTTGACATAACTCGCTTAATTTTTACTTCAATAACAATTTTCTTGGATTTGTCGCAAATTTATTTAAAACTTGATTTTCAAATTGCTCTCGATTTGATTTAATTAAATCACGATGCACACTCATGAGACATAATCCTGTTAACCTTTCCTCTCCCATGGTACTTCTCAACCAAGTCTTCACTCTTCGAAGAGTACTGAAGGATCGTTCTACAGGGGCCGTGGTGCATGGAATTGTGATTAAAATCAAAAGTGCCTGTTTTAGGATGGGATAAAAAACATCGGTCTCGTCGAGAAGGTCAGTTATTTCGACGTCTTTTAGCTGGTCCTCAGTTGACTTTTTTTCCTTCCACAAATTATAACATAGGTCCATTTCCGCAGTAATATCGTCCAATTTATAAAACTGGGTAAAATATTGTGCATTTTGTTCTACTTGATTGGTTTCCATATCGAGCATATATAATGGATGTATTTTTGTTAAGGCAAACGCTGGAGTATGTTCTTGAGAAAAGCGAATATTTAAAGAGGCTATAGTTGAATCCAGATACGGTATAATTAACGAACGCTTCCAGTAGTCACTATCACAGTCTGATGGAGGATTGTTTCTATGTATTTGCCTCTTGGTAATTCGAGGGATAGAAATTTCTATTTCCAATTCCAATGCAAAGTCTTGTGCTTTTTTAAGTACTTCATCAATAACTAGGTCGGCATCTTCACGGTTTTTCTTCAGAACGTTAAGGATTAAGTTCAGATGTTCTTGCAACTTAATTAAATCCATAGTTTTTGCTTGCAAGGCATTAACAACCGGCTCCAGTAAAGCTGAATATTTTGCAATTATAGTTAGGGCAACAATTAGTGAGTGTTTGGTAACGGCGGCATGCAACTGGTACGCAGATTTTCTCGTGGCGTAGTTTCCTTCGATAGATAGTTTTTCAAGTGATTTCACAATTTCGAGGAAATTTTGTGCAAATAAGCGAATACTTTTGTATTTTTCAGACCATCTAGTCTCATACAGTCGTGATAGATTAGGAGCGGAACTTCTGCGAGTGGTGGATTCCCTGAAAAAGGTTATAACATCCTTTACGGTGCCAATAACAGTGGTGCTAATTTCCGGAACATTATTTGCATCATTGACAACAAGATTTATTTTATGGTTTGAGCAATGAAAAAATAATGCTCGTGTGTACTTTTTCCTTAAAATCGCTTGTACGCCACCCTATTTGCCCGCCATCGTAGCGCAGCCATCAAAACCAAGTCCTACACAACTATGCGGTGAAAAATTATAGCTAACTAAAAAATTGTCTATTGCATTGGCAATTGCTGGGGCATCCTGTGCTGTCAGCTCCACAAAACCCACAAATTCTTCTCGGACTTTTTTTTTACTTTCATCATAGAAACGCAAGCCAATGGATAGCTGCTCCTTTCCTGAAACGTCGGCTGTCTCGTCGGCTAAAACTGCGTAGAACATGGCTTTCTTTGCATCATTTATCACACTCTCCCTAATAACTTCGCCACATAAATATATGAGTTGGTTTTGTATTTTTGGTGACGTATAAACAGCATTTCTACGACACTTTTCCAGGTGATTCTTTAATTTGATGTCGCCCGACTCAACTCGCAAATTCATTAGATCGAAAAAAACTCCCTCATCTGCTTCTTTTCCTCGTAGAGGCATATCGTGTGTGCCACAGAATACTACACAGGAAATAATAGAGGCCAATATTTGCTTGTTCTCTTCGATTGTTTTTTGGTGGAAACTTTGAACTTGAATGTCCACAGGTATATTTTCGAGAAAGGCCTTTGCAGCAGCAGATGCAGATTTGTGAAAGTTATTGGTGGCATGTTTACGACAATCTTCGTGCATATTCCTGAACTTCGTAAATGGTCTGATCATAAATGAACCTAACACTCCCCTTACTGTGCCAGTAGAAGGAGGAAATAAAACACAGTGCTTACACAGAGCACCCTTTAGTCGCTTGGAATACACTAACCATGGTGTGTAATGATCTAACCAAGCATAATTAAATTTTCTTCGCAAATGACTGGCATCGGCTGCAAAATCGTAATTCTTGGGTGGAACCCACGGATTTTTTAACAACTCTTTTTTTCTTTCCATCGTCAGGTGAAATGTTTGTCCTACATAACGACCCAAGTCATTTTCGTGGCAACCATCATTCTCTTCAATTTCGGGATTGACTACAGAGCCAGATGTTGACGGTAAAGATTCTAAATTAGGAGCAGTGACTTTCTTAGATCTCAAAGAATTTAGCGGTTGCTCAGATTCAGATTCACTTTTAGATGGGCTTGGCGATGAAATTTGATCATTGTTATCATCGTTCCCGCTGCTACTGTCATGTTCTTTTTTCCTCTTGAGAGTTTTGGTAGCTGCAAAACACAATAATGCCGCTATTAGTATTTTATACAGTGTGAGTGATATCCATGTTAGTGTTTTGTTTAACATGTAACATGCAATTTTTACAGATATTACACAAATGTCGTCGAATGTAACTTACTAACTATAACTTACCTGTTTGAAAAAATTTCCTGATATCCATTTATCAGTGTGGAGATACCGAGATGCCCGAAATAGGTCGATTCAGCAGATTTTCCAATAAGTACTGTAACATTTTTAACGTGAA